AAACAATTTAGAAGTATGGTATGAAATTTCAAAGGAAGACCACAGCTTAACTATCAATTCTTCTGTACCTACCTTTCGAATACGTATGAGTACATTATGTGGTGTTATAATTTCAGACTTAAAAACAAAAGATTCACTTCATCTTATGCCTTATTACAATTTTGTACTTGTAACAATTATTATTACATGAGCAATGAAATTCAGAGTGACGTGAGATCAGTCGGTTTCTCAGCGTCACAATAGTGCACCGCCTGCGCCTATGCGCACACCCACGCGAATCGCGTAGAGTTTACAACATTCAGAACTGACAACACAACCAAAGCTTATACGATTTCTTTAAATTGTCGTAAATGCCAAATAAAGAACTTTCAATTGTTATACAACTTTGATAGGTTCGCAAAAAAAGCCGTTACACCAATTTCAAAGCCAGTGATCTAAAATAGGACAAAAACAGGCAAATTAATTTATTTAATACGAATTATTTAGGTGTGCATGCTACATCCTCGACCTCATCATCACTTTTCATCAGGAAAAATGGAGGCCAAATGCGTACTTATTTTTTATATTAAAAAAAAAGAATTACGGATTTTAATAATGGCTTACGGCCACTTGAAAAAGATGTTACAGAACAGGGGAACAAATGACAGTAAGTTTCTCACAGGTGGCGCTGGCGACAAAAAGCCATTTAAAGTCAATACGAATATCTGCAATAAGCACATAGAGAAATTTGTAAGACCGCTAAGATCTGAAGCGCACTGCCACTATACCCGTCACCCAGAGACAGTAAGTTCGCCGGCACCTCTGTGCTAAGATCTGAGAGGCATTGCCACTGCCCCCGTCACCCTGAGGCATAAAATTTACAACTCTCATGTATTTCACCAGCACCTTCACCCCTCACCGGAATGCAGTAATGCTGACAATGCTGCTTGGCGGCAGAACCAGGTATGGTGGCACTACTTCCCTTAACAATTTTTTCACAAGGAGCTTGTGATGATGCGACCTTTTTCATCGTCATCCCACCTTTTTATCACCTTCTTCTCTGGTTCCTGGCCACTTACTTTTGAAATCTTGAATCGTTCTCTAATTCCTTTTGTTCGTCACTCCCATCAAAATTCTCAAACCGAGTGGACGTGCTACCTGTCATCGTGTATTACTTCATACTAAATTTTCGAAGCGAGAGGACGTGCTTTTCTCTAATAAATTTATATTTTATTAAATGTCAAAATTTTATTATGTACGTTTTATAACGATGTAACGTGTTTGTGCACATACATCACACACATTTTTGTGGTAAAATTTAAATCTGCTACTGCTACTAAGATAGAGTAAGACACTTGATGTCATAAAAAAGTACGTTGCTCATTTATTGACGGTAATTAATATTATAAATACAAAAAAAAATATCCTTGAAAAACAATTTCAAAGCTCTACTTTATATGCTGCGGTTTCTACGAAATAATCGACATTCGAATCGAGTTACGTGTGAGCAACAGTCAAACGCACGTAATAGATACGACTAACAATTTCGTATTTATCTAAATAAAAAGTATTTACATTACAAATGAAGACAGTAATGTTTCTTTTCTTTATAATATCAAGTGACGGAACGAACAAGACGTGTGACTGGTGGTAAGCGACACGCCTATCCATAACAGTTGCACTGCCAATCAGAGCTTTTAATCGCAAAGATCTTAGGGACACTGCCACTGCGTCTGTCACCTTGAGGCATAAGTTGCCAAGTCCCATGTGCCTGTAATTTCACCAGTACCCTTACCCTTCCAAACCGGAACGAAGTAATGTTCACATTACTGCTTGGCGGCAGAAAATTTCACAAGAAGGTCTACTGCTATTAAAATATACTAAATATGTTTAATAAAGAATTAACCAAAAAAGAAATTTTCCTTTTAATTTTTCTAGTCAGGGTCGGCTTGTCAACGAGACAAACTGACATTTTTGGGTAGTTTTCAGGTCAGTTTTCTCTACCTGATTTCGGTGACAATTTATATTATTTAAATATTCTAGAATATTATCATGAAGTGTTATTTAACATTAGAGTATGCTATCCCGTAATATTATTTAATATTTCACGATAATACCTATACTCGGAATACTAAAATAAAAAAATGGCACCGAAATTAGGTAGGGAAAACTAACCGGAAAATTAGCCTTTTATTCTAAAATATTATGTTATGTATCTCACTAATCACTTCGAAAATATTATAAACAACAAAATCGGTTTAAAAACCCGGTACAAATGGTGACTTACTCCAGCATACAATCCGAAATATTTTCGTTTTAAATACCATAATTTACATATCAGTCAGTTCCATAAGTTGTAGATTCTACGTAAGCCAATCCCTGTCGTTTTCTTTAAGGTTTCCACACGAAAAGCGCGAACAATGAGCAAATAGAATCGAGAGGACTTTCTCCCTGGGAACAGTGAACAATACCAGCTTGTTTTATGCAACGAAACTCACTCGCTTACACCCGATTAATTACATATATATATAACGTGGGAACTGTTTTTACATTTCTTTATTTTCAAACTCGCTTTTGTGTGTTAATAAGTAACTTTACGTTGGTTGCCGTTTATTCTAACTAGCCACACGTATTTGTCAGAATTTTTTAAATTTTTTTCGAAATTCACTAGATATTTACTACCTAGAATTAAATGATCGAATATAAAATGATAAATATCTTTATAACAAACACTTGAAACTTACGTACTTGTCGCACCTGTAATAGTAATAGTAACGCACACACTCATAGCCCCGCACTAAGGAAACCCTGTATCGCGGGTGCCGTGGACGCACACTTCGGCAACCACAAATCGCACCCAAACTTACGAGGGAGATTAGCCTTCAAAATGATAGTATTGACGGCTAATCGGAAGAGAATGCTTTATGACAATGCATCTGCTACTTGTACAACGAGTTGTAGCGCTTCTTGTGAAAGAGTTTGTCCAGGGAAGTACTGCCACCTTGCCTATTTCTACCGCCAAGCATTAAGGGTAAGAGAGTGAAGGTGAGATTGCTCTGGTACCGTAGTACAGAGAATTCCTTAGTTTGAGACCAGACAATATGCGTGGTTGCCTGGCACCTTACATTATAACGTACATTGTAGATACCAATCAAATACGCCACTTGATCGTGCCAAATATGACCAAATACTATTCGACATAAAAGACATATTATTTTTATTTAGTTCGTTTTTTAATTATCTTGAAACTTTTTCAAAAATTACTTTTAAATTGTGATCCCTTAATTATTAAGGATGCGATAAAATATGTAGTAAGTAGCAGTCAGTTGAACTTGATTACATTACTTGAGTACATTACGTTCGTCAAATCTATTCCGTACGGTATAGATACGGTACGGACGCACGTCCACAGCGAATCACATTTTATTTTAGGCCTATTAAAAACAAAATTATAATAAAGTTTGTTTCACACGCAACACAATCTGTGTGATATGACCAACAAATTTTTTTTTTCGCCCGGACGGAATAACTCTCATCCCTGCACTGGTGTGTGACGCCACATGTGCCGACACACTTGCCCCATCCCATCTCCAGCACACCAGCAAGAGGGCTGGCGGAAAGAATAAAGAGTAATACGTACCAGGTCCTCAGCTACGACTACCTATTTACAGCCTTTGGAGTCGAAACCGGGCCAAACCCATGGGCCATTTTATCAAAAAAATTAATAGACTGTCTGGGAAACCCAAGGGCTGGCAGCTACCTTACCTACAAAGGGGGAACGCTGCCAGCATCTTGGACACCTTGCCGCGGGGACCCAATTTCAGTCGCATAATTTAATCCTAGATATACTTTCCAGTATTTAAGTTTTTATTGCACTTTGCCTGTATATTTTAACTTATTGTATATCATTTTTATCATAAGGTATTCTTATTGTTTAAAAAAAATACTCTTATTTGCGGATACACATCAGAGGTACAGTCAGTTTTTGAAAGCTTCACTTTCAACTCGGAATTGTTACAGATTTGTATTTATATCTTAAGTTGTTATATTGAATAACCTCATTTGCCTGTAATTAGTCAATATTGCGGCAGTTGTATGAACTTTACGCTAAAGAAATAGAATCCTTAACGACTTTTTCATGTGGTAAAGAGAAATACACCTATTATACTCGACTGGCTATTATAAATAAGCTTTAGGCAGCTCCAAATCAAAACGCAATAATTCCTAAATAATCAGATAATTTTCGAAAAGAGAGTGTTGTCGTCAAACCAGATAAATACGTAACTCTGAACAAGAGGAAGTTGTGACTCGTGTAGAGCTAATTCATCATACGGATAACATTAGCTCCACTCGCTGGACAGGCTGATTAGACGACCGAGATATTAGCTAGGTGTATTTTGATCGAAACGAACGAAAAGTATTCGATCACTTGATTAATGTATTTAGACCTGTTATTTTTTGCTGTCTACTGGGTAGTTAGTTGTAACTAATTAGTTGTGGCGATGTTGCGTCAAGATTTATGCTCGAGTTCTAAGTAGTGAATATAGTTTATAGGAGAAGCTTTCTACGTTTGTAGCAGTCCGTTCTACAAGGATAATAAATAATTACCTACTAGCAAGTAGCAATGCGGCTTGGTGAAGTGCGTGCTCTATATTTAGGAAAACATATTATGGTTACATTCACCTCGGCGCTTATGCATCATGTGGCATCGAAACTATTCATGTCTTACGACTGCCACTGCGCAGCGCTTGCCGCAGGCCCACCTGATAATTGCCACAAGAACTTCTATATTGATAACATGTTTTAAGCCCATCTATAAGTATGAATAAAAGCTGGGCAATAACAGTACACACGGGTGCGTGCATCTCGCTTACATTGTTACGTGCATACATAATCAACGAAGACAGCTTATTGCGTCCAAACGGTACCATTAATCCGTGAAGCACACTTGTCGACTACCTCTACGTAACCGACGCCCTAGCGGGGCAGCAACAATGGTTCTTGCTAACGGCAAGCGCGACTGGCGCTGGCGGGGCGGCGCAAGCGCAATAGATCGCAGTGCGGCCGGCACGTCGGCGCCGATATGCTGTGTCCCGCGCGGTGTTCGTGCTTCCTCTGCCGCGAGCTGCAGTCCTGCCGTGCTGCGGACGCCAGGAAACCTCCCAACAAAATGTGTGACAACTTCATTCTAAAAAAAGCGGAGGCCTGGGAACCTATGAAGTTCATCCGCGGAGCCGCCAGACTCTCAGTAAGACACTGGCAAAATAGAGAGCCAGCAAACCCAACAAAGAATCGCATTACTACGCACAAGTCCACCAGCTGTGAGCAACTGTGCCCGCACCCCTCCGAGGAGACCACCGACCTACCCGGCTTGCGCCGCGCCCCTAGCACAGACAGAATGAAACCTGAAAGTAAACCATTGTTCAAAATCCTAGGCAATTCACGTCTGAAAAAAAATAACGACAGTGACATTCAAAAATCGGAATCCAAAGTACGTCGTAGCGTTCTGAATTTCAGAAAGAATGAGACACCCAATGCCAAATATATACATGAAAAGTATATTCCGTTACCACAGAGTTCACCTCCAGATGACCACATATATAGTGAACCCAGATCTTGGGGTGCACAGTATGATGATTGTTGCCGCCCTCCTGTTTACCAAAGTGTTGAGAAGAAGAAAGACGACACTAAAAAGGGATCAATGTCTGACAACAAGATATATACCAACCGTCCGCCTTGCTACGAAGAACTTACTCAAAGGTTATCACAGGAGAAAATCAAAAAAGGCAACTTACCTATTTCTGAAAATAGTCTTGCTAACAAAATAACACAGAACAATAACAAAGTAGTTATTTACTTTGGTGATTCTATTATTCGGAAACACAGTGAACAGAAAAAAGAAGAAACTAAACAAAAGGATGAAGTCCCTCCGAAAGAAGAAGCTATTTACGCAAATCGCCTTTTAGATGAAACTGGGAACTTGGGCATTAGTAGTAGAGAAGAGGACAAAGGCGGAACGCAACTAGTGTCTGAAGTAGAGGTTCCTGAAGCAATTTATGCTGAAGTGAAATCCGAAGATACTAAAGAAACTTCTGAAGTGGTAACCATCAATGATACTACTTATAAAAAAGATATGTTCGGTACTATGAGTACTGACGGATATTTGGTAGTGGAGTTTGAGGGGAATTTCCAGAGAGCGTGTCAATTGGTGGAGCAGGTGCATTCGGTAGGCGGCACCGATCATCATGAAGCCACAGTTTTGGATGAGGACGATCACTGCGATTGGAGCTTCATACAAGACTGGAGGAAACGGTAAGTTCACACTGTTTATGAGATGCTCTTATTCATGTCACTACGAGGAATACAGCTTTGATTAGTGGTAGCAAATATTATATAAATATCATGATTGTTATATAGTAAAGTAAAAATAAAAGATTGTTAATTACTCATATTTGTATACGCATATACTATTGTGTCACGGAACAATGAATTACAGCCTCGCAATGGATGCAGTAAATATAAGAAAAGAAAATAAATAAATAAGTAAATAAAATAAAAGAAGCGTCGACATAATAAGAAGCCTTGCAATCAAACATTTGCAACATTCGTTACGTACTTAGCTAGATGTCAAAATCCAAGAAAAATCCCATGTTTCATATAAACGGTGTAATAATTATTGTGTCAGTCTCAAATACAACATAACGCAGACGTAACTAATCTACATAAAAACTTTGTGGTTTGATGATTTCACACTTACTAATGTCTATCCTCATAACTGCTCGCAATGTTTAGGTACATAAATTATCCAATTTAATAGCACATCCATTACGTAAACAACAGCAATTTTTATTTCTCCAGTTATCCGAAGAATTGCAGGGAAACATTCGTATTAATTGCAGAGCAATTCCCTAGATAACAATCGGGTAGCGATGGCCGACGAACTCGTGCGAGCTTCTTGCCTTTCAACTGATGCTATCACATCTGTAACTAATTTTATCTATAGAAATTTCAACCTTAACGCTTTAGGTTAATGTTCTAAAAAGGCTCATGTTAGATGAGCTTGTAAATATTTTAATAGCTATTGTTCAGTCAATCCATGCTCCATCGGAGGTTCTTGCGATCGCTTCCTTGAGACTGCATCTCGATTTGTTTCGAGAATTAATTAAAAACCATGACTTTTCTTTGAAGTTTCGTAACAATTTGTAAGTGTGGTAATTATTTACACTTTCTTGCACATTTCGCTGGCGCTATAATTTATAGATTAATCATTTTAGTACTAATTAGCGGAGTGGCGGAACAAAATATTACACATAACGTTAATGTTTTAACAACTACTTCAGCACATCTCTAATCGAACCATGGTGTAGTGATATTTTAAACGGGTAATAAATGTTTAAATATTATGTAATACTATAATAATACATATTTCGATGAGAAATTTTGATTGCGCTTTCCCTGTTATACTTCCGTGGAACCAGGCGTATATGGGGATCACATTCACACCCTTATACTGAAGATACGCGGCCTATACGCACGAAATGCTTTGTTTCAAGGCGGATAGCAAAGCAGTAGAATTATCTGCGGATTTGTTCCGCGTTAAAATATAACATGGGCTTTTTCAAGACGAAAGTGAATAGGCACTTTCTTCGTATCGATGGCATGCACTGTAATGCTTGCCACTGTGGTGTAATGATTTGCCAATCGGAATAAGGTACTCGCCAATTGTTACCCGAGGTGCCAGACGCAAAAGGTACACGAAAGTAATGTTACACGCACACACGCAGGGAGGGTCCTTTCGTGGACGCCTACACTTTAGTTACATCATCAATTACCATTAGGGAAGATTGAATATAGATAAGGTACCATGTCAAAAGAGAAGCCACATAGTTTAAGACCTATTCACTAGGTATTGATCTAAGTTGAAAAACAAAATCTGTTGTCAGCTGCAGATCAGGAAACTTAAGTAAATGACCGAATCACAAAATAACCGTGAAGGGCGAACAAGGACGAAATTTGTAACAGTAATACCAATCTCCCGTGCGTGACATACCCTTAATCCCGGAGCTGAAAGTCTAAAATGGTTTAAAATAACAGCAAATGCTCTGGTCAGTATCATATAACATTGTGTTCATGCATGGGTGACAATTACTGCACGGTAGCGACGGTGACGCAACTTTTGTTTACGACTGGTGAAATATTTTTTTGGTTCAACTTGTGGTATACGCTGTCTAATCTCGTTTTTATTTCGATATCAGATTTTGAAACACAACATTTTGTTATTAAATTATTATTAATTAAATTATTTTAAAACATTGACAATAACTCGTTAAGATATCAACTTTTGGAGATAGCAACATTGTAATGTACACTTATCAATTAGAATCTACCCTTACGCTAAGCTTATCACTTTATCGCAACTTCAATGGTATCCATTCTTCCTTCAGTTTAGTCCTTGAATACTTAAGTGAAATTTTCATCATCATCATAGTGCCTTTCCACTACCGGAAGCTGACCGTCAGCTTGGAGAACTCTTCTCTGTCCTGGGCCAAGCGAAACAGATGTTCTTCGCTAGCAATATTGGTCAATTCCCGGATGTTGCGCAACCACGACTTCTTCCTTCTTCGAGTACGTCGTTTTACTTCGATCTTGCCCATCATAACAGTTGGAGAAGTCTGTACTTTTCATGCCGTAGAACATGTCCAAGATATGCAACTTTCCTTTTCTTGACAGTCTACAAGAGTTCTCGGTCACTCCGAACGCGCTGAAGAACTTTCACATTGGGAACTTTCTGGGTCCAGGTAATGCGAAGCATTCTACGGTAGCACCACATCTCGAAGTCCTCAAGACGCCTCTGGGTGTCGGCTTTTAGAGTCCAAGCCTCGCTACCGCATAACACTAAGTGAAATCTTAAGGTTCCTTATTTATACGGTTTCGTCCATTTTACCGTATGTATTTTTATCAACAGGACACATGAAATAAGTGTTAAAAATGACATCATCGTCATCATTCTCATTATCATCGACAACCTATCATCACACATCGCACTTTTGGGTACGAGTCTCCTCTAAGGAAAGGCTTTAGGCCTTCACAATCCGCCACGTTGGGCCGGTTAGCGACTTCGCGTCTTCCAAGCGTCGTGAACATTCTTCGACATGTTAGTTTCATCACAATGTTTTCCTTTACCGTCAGCGAGAGGTATTTCTACTAAACATTCGTAAATGAGCGTAACTTAGAAATTAAACTCATAGATACATACCGCCGCAGACATCGAACCGTCAGCCTCTCAATCGAAAAGCAACCACGAAGCTACCACCGCACATAAATATAAAATTAACCTTTTTTATAACATTAAGTGACGGGACGAACAAGTCGTGCGCCTGATGGTAGACTACACGCCTGTCCATAACGGTTACAGGGCCACTTCGAGCTATCACTGCGCCCGTCACCCTGAGACATAAGTTGACAAGTCCCATGTGCCTGTAGTTTCACCAGCACCCTGTAACGATACCATTTACCTCCTTACCATAACATTGATTTTGCTACCAACAATTCTGCCGTCCTCTAACTAAAACGCGGGTAAGTGACAAATGGTCAAATAACCGTTTTAAATTGCAAACAATAGAGCACAAAATTCTCTTTTAAAAACCGTTAACGGAACTTACCCTAACGATGCATAGCTGAACTATCATTAAACAATTTCAATATTCTAAAACTGGGTTATGGTTTTATATGATATCTCAAAAAAATATTTTGTCTCTTAGCCTTTTAGTCAGCGGACGGCAGAATTGTCTAACTAACTTTACGTGGCAAATCATTATTCATTTCCATTGTAATATTTTCTTTTATAAATACAATAAATATGTTTTCCTATGTTTTCTTCCAAACTACTTATTGTAGTGTAGTGGGTATTTATGTTTGTTTTTATGATTTACTCGCCGTGATGATTGCGTAATTGACACCACTGAACATTCTATTATTACACCTTATAAATACTGTTCATTACGTAGGTGCCAGTGCCTAACATTTCAAGTTATGCTACTTTCATTTTTTTTTATGACAACGTCTTTCTAAGTTAATCTATTTTTTAATCTCACTAACTGGTATTACTCGTAAATCTTATGAACCAGTGACATATTTGTCAATTTAATTGGCAATTATACATAAGAATCATTTCTTTATTAAATGTAAATAATAAGTTTAGGTAAGTAAAATATAGTATAATATTAAATAATATATCAAATATACTTAATATAAATGACCAGAAAATGTGTTCTAGTGAGGTAAGTGTAAGTTTAAATGTGTTCTTAGTTGCATCTACGCTGATTGTATGTAAAATCTCAGTTTTACTTATTTCATTTCAACAACTTCAGTTCATTTCAATAACTTCATTTCAATAAGTTCATTTGTTAAGCTTCATTAACAGTAGGAGAAATGAACTTTTTGAAATGCTAACATGTGTTTTATAGAGTTCTTCGGATCCATATCGCGTATATTTGTTTTTTCAAGCAAACCAACGTTTTGGACCCTTTACTGGTCCCAGTTAGCCGTGATCATGGGGCCTGTAAAGGGCCTGAAATGTTGGTTTGTTTGAAAATACGCATTATATACGATATATACGATTTTAGTTCCAAAAAAAATTTATTTCCACTCATACATACAAGCACATACAAACACAATTTCTCTCTCTCTCTCTCTCTCTCTCACACAGAGATATGAAATATATATATAGATGATATAGATAGATTAAATACTATGTATGTGTAAACTTTGTTAACTCTCGTATTTAAGCATAGCGAAATGTCATCGAGAGCAATTTCTTTCTCAGAATGTCTAAACCTCTCCCCTGAAAACTCATCGAAATTTAAAGAATTTAAATTATTTCATAGCTTTTTCTTTTATCTTCAATATTAACACATAACATCGACTCTGGAAATCTAAAACTTCTAACTTGCAATTGGAGAATATTACAGGAGAGCGATTTAAAGTAATTAAAAAATAATAATTACTTAATTTTATTTGTTAAATGGAAATGCTGACAATTTCTAGTTTTCCAAATAACAAATAAAATTAGAGTTATTCTTTAAAAAATTACTTTAAATCGCTCTTCTGTAATATTTTTCAAAAGCACGTTAGGCATTTTAACTTTCCAGGGTCGATACATAGGGCGCACTATAAGTTTCCGGAACTCGCCACTTACGTAAACAATATTTAAAAAGTAATTACAACATTGAAAATGGAACTCTTCGGCTGTAGAATACAGTTGGTTTCATCTGACTGGCACTTGTTTTTACATTGTGGCGTCATTTTAGAACTTGGCTATCTACATCGCCATGGATTTAACTCGTGAAAATTATCGTAGTATGATTTTCTACGACTTTAAGTGTAACTTCAGCTCAGCGGAGCTTCCCTCGGCTTCAAACTGCTTTTGGCGATGAAGCACCATGCAAGACGACTGTTTATAGCTGGTTTGCAGAATTCAAACGCGGTCCTCTGAATCTCAGTGATGAATTTCGTGATGGTTGTCCGTGCACTGCTGTGAACAACAAAAACATCGATGCTGTGCGCCGTATGATCTAAACAGACAAGAATGTGACATACCATGAGATTCGGGCAACATCCTAATGTAGGCATGAGTTAAATACAAACACAAACATTTGGGTGTGAAAAAGCTGTGGTCTCGGTGGATCCCACACAATTTGACTGAAAATACCATGCTTACCAGATTCAACGAAGAGCGTCAAATTTGGTGTGGGTCATAGTGGTGACGAAACATGGATTTATAGTTACGATCTCAAAACAAAGCAGCAATCGAGCGTATGGGTATTTCGAGATGAGCCGAAACCAACCAAAGTGGCGCGCTTGCAAAGTGCCTCCAAGCGGATTGCTTCTATTTTTTTTAAAACTAGACACGTGGCTACTGTTGCTTTGTTTTGCTGTTGTACCGTGAATAGTGATCAGTACACGACCATTTGTTTGCCAGAAGTTATTGACAAACTCCGTAAAAATAACCTTAAACGCCGTATCATCTTGCACCACGATAATGCCAGTTCTCACATGGTCAGACAGACAAATAAATTTTCGAAGGTGCACAATGTTGACCTTATGAGGCATCTTGCGTACAGTCCCGACCTGGCACCTTGTGACTTTTATTTATTTCCAAAAATTAAGTTACGCTGTCAACGATTTTCATCACCTGAAGGCTGTAGACATACTCTTGTATGAAAAATGTTTCAGAGGTTGTCACGGAGGTGTGGCATAAAAGTTTTCAAAATTGGTTCATTCGTATGAAAAAGTGCATTAACGCTAACGGAGAATATTTTGAGAAACAATAAATTCATTTCTGACCATTTGCAGTATTTTTTTCTTATTCATTCCGGAAACTTATAGTGCGCCCCACGTATATAAAATATATCATATATTTGTCTTCAATATCAAAAACATTGAAGACAAAGTACATAGACAATGTTTAGAAATAGTTTAAATTCTTAAAATTTTGTGAGCCCATAATTATCTTAAATTAGTTGCCTACTACCTTGTTATAACATTATTGTGCGCAATAATGCCGCAGCCTTGGTGAAATAAAATCATATCTGCAAAATGTCAACTTTTAAGGAGAGATGTTAAAAGATTCTAAGAACGAAATTATGCGATAACATTTTTAAGCTCAGATAACAAAGTTATCAAAACTGACACATAATTTTTAGTAGCAGTAGAGCTTGTGAAAGAATTGGTCCAGGTTACCTATTTGCCCACAAGCAGTAATGTCAGCATTGCTGTGTTACGGTTTTGAAGGGTAAGGGCAAACACATGGGACTTGTCAACTTATGTCTCAGGTGACGGACGCAATGACAGTACCCCTCATTTTTTTGCGATTTACAGCTTTGAGTGGCTCTGCAACTATTATGGACAACCGTGTATTACCATCAGACGGATGACTTGTTCGTCACGTCACTTGATATTGTAAAAAAATATGTAATACTTCATGTAATGCGTATTTATGACTTGCATGCGACAAAAAACAATTTACACGTGGCTTTATTGAATATAGGAGAGCCACATTTCCATTTTAGAAACATAAATTATTACAAGGTGGAAGTAGCTGCTAGCCTTCTGGTGACCGGAGGTTTCAAAAAGACGAAATGAAAGCTTTGCAAGGAGTTTCACTTGTGGCCCACCCTCGCCTATCTACACATGGGAGGGGTACAGAATCTTATTTAGAGCTTTAAAGACTCTGAAACGTAATTTGACAAGTCCCTTGATCCTGTAGTACCTCTAGCACCTTTACCCTCCAACCCCTCCGCTGTAACACTTACATTATTGCTTAACGGTTGGGTTAGGTACGGTAGCAGTACTTCCCTGGACAAACTCTTTCACAAGAGGCTCTACTGCTACTAAATTTGAAACCACAGGCTTCATATATATTTGCCTCATGTACGTTATTTAAGTGTCAAGGCAGACTTTCGTTCTGCTGCAGGCACGCAGTTATCTTTACTAGGAAGCGTGGGGAGTACAAGTTCATTCAACTTCACTAATCTAAAATTAATTAGCTGCATATGAATATTAATATTGGTTATTTATAAGCACTTGTGATACCGAATGGGACTGTGTTGAATATGATTAAGATAAAACGTCAAGTTGAATCTTCTGTTGAGGCCTTTAAAAATCCACATTTGGATGTCGTACAAAATCATGTGGACTCGATTCTTAGCTAGGCATTAGTAATTTTTTTTTATGATATCAATTCTTTATGAACAAATCGTGCACCTGGTGGTAATCTACAGCAGTTTCAGTTTGAGAAGGTGACTGGGGTCTGTCGGCCTGAGACATAAGTTGACCACTCCCATGTGCCTGCTGTACTTCCACAAGCACCCTTAACCCTTCAAAACCGACAAAGTAAACTGCTAGACGGCTACTAATTAAAACTGATTATAATAGACCACTACACAACTCGTGTAATTTCGAATAATACTATTGAAAATTAATCACGTCATGTCAATATAATTTTTATCAAAAAGTAGACACAGTAGACTAAAAGCTATAACCTTCACAAATTCTCACGTTTTTTTTTATGACAGCACAAGCGCTTCCTTACTTTCCTCAGTTGGAGCGATAATTGTTGCTTCTTTGGATCTGCTTTGCGGTTGACTTTCCCTTATGATGAGCTCTACATGCTTTCATGTGTTACGTCGTTGTATACTTCCTCTGCTTGCTTACTACTCGTTATTTCTTGTGATGTTTTAACTTCTCTGTTGCTTTGTCAATAAAATTAAAAAGTATAGAGCATGAACATATCAATTAATTAATATGCAGCAACGTCTGTATTATAAACAGCTTCATTGCGTTTGTGTGTTTTCTCTAGACTGTCATAATACTCAGATCATAATATAACAATTTTTTGCTCTCCTTTATCGCGTCACTTCACTCCAATATAATATAACAAGGTGTGTTGTTTTATTGTTGTGAATTTCTCAAAGCGCCACCTGAGGCGGGTAGATCGCGATTCGTCCCGTTTGTTTGTCCGTCACGGTCACGCTTTCCTCTTTAGGCTCGCCCTTTCTTGCTTTTTGCTTCTATTTCTATTTCCTTCAAACTCTATTTAGTGTCGTTTTTGCCGATTTTTACTGTATTTATAGTATTATTGTCATTTTTATGTCAATTCATGCTTTTGGTTCCAAAATTGGACTTGTGATTATTTATTTGTTTACCCATTATAATTAAAGTTAATAGATACCTTCTCTTGTGTAGGTAGAGCTATCATATCAGTGATTTATGACACATTTTTCAACAAAAAATTCTGTATGGCTTTAGTTATGGCCCACCGTACACGTAAGAACTGTCATTCAAAATAATACAATTAATTACATTTAATAGCAAAGTTAGTATCTAATGATAAACGTTTCTAGTACTCTGAGTCTGGTCGTCAAGTCATCTGCGTAACATTGATTTGAAAGTGCGACAGCGAACGGTTGCAGCGGCCCCTGCCCGACGCCTGACGTCGGCGCGATTGGCCATGGTCATAAGGCTCGCCAAATCCGTCACGCCTCGGGATGTCCGTTAGAGGTTTTTAAAGGGTTGCAGCATTTAATGCTAGCAGATTTTTCGGTCTGCACTTAAAAACAGATATTTTAAGAAACGGTTAAGTTGCCTTTCGTTACTTCGGCTATTTTGAAACTGTTCAAATAATTTTGCGTTATATAAATAAAATAACCATCAACACCATGTTTTCAGTACATGCTGATACCGAACGCAAATAAGAAGATGTAATACTCAGTCTAATTCTTACAAAGGAGTTCTTTCAGTAAATATAATTTCAGTATATATAACTACCTCCGTGGCCGAACGGTAACCATGCCGGACTGCCATGCAGAGGTCCCAGGTTCGATTCCCGGGCCGGGAGAAATATTTGTATGGCCTACATTTATTTGTCTCGCGAGTTTGGGTGTAATTTGTAATTGTCTATTTGTGTGTCCATGGCACCCGCGACACAGGGTTTCCCTGTGCGGGGCTATGTCGAGTGTGTGCGTTATTATTATTATTATAATTACAACGAGTTTAATGATTTTGAGGAATATGTCTAAACCTGGCAAATAATCATTTTTTGTGTAATATCTTTTAAACAGTAGTTCCTGTTACTAATTAGCAATGTTTTGCCAGGCCATCGAGCGGTTGCCGGCCGTCCGAAGAGGCGGCGTGGTGTGGCGGTGTGTCAGGTGCGCGGGCGCTGCGCGTGCGCGTGTCCTCAGCAGCAGCCGCACCAGCGCCCGCGCACGCACGCCGTTTGTCTCCGCCGCCGCACGCACACCGCGCCACCACGCCACCTAGGCCCAGCTCGCCGAGTAATAAACGTATGCTTAATTTTTAGATTACACCTAGCCTCTAAACACTGAGCCCAAAATTAGTCTTTGCTCCTATTCTCCATCAGCCCATGAAGAGCTCCCACCGTCTTCAACGGACACGCCTGGTACGGCTCAACTGAAGCCGGTAATTGCGGTGTCGCAGCTGACTGTGGCCAGCGCGCCGGTGCGGAGTGCGCCGGCACAGAGCAGTTATGCACTGGAGCGGCGCACGCCAAAACACGATCACCACCATCGCCCTGTCGAGACTGTTCAACCAGTTCAGGTAAAACTACAAAAATTAATTCTTAGTGCTCGTTTTCGGAATTGCCAACAGCCTGCCAAGCATGACGACATGAACTTAATGATAAACATAATAATGTGCTCTCTGAATATAGGTGGCGATAGTTGCTTTTTTATTAAATTATTTCAATACTTCTGATATGGCTCTTATTACGAGTAAGAATAATAAATGTGATGTAGTGACAGTTTACTGAATCTCAACAGGTAGATTCTCGGGTACGTGTTTTCTTGCCTTAGCGGAATGAATATAGAAATTGTCCTTAACATGGCTCAGTAGCCTCAACAAAATCGAGGTCGTTGTATAGGCCATTATAAAGCCGTAAAATCTCGCCATAAAATCTGGTACGTAAGTTTATAAATTAACAGGAGAGGTGCTATAAAGTGTTTATAGAAAATGTTCATTCGATTATAGTTGACAACTTTTGGTCCTCACCGTATTGCAAAATTTTATGATCTTATTTGTTGATTCGTGTTAACTCTCATGGCTAGTGCCACCATCTCTTTATGTTTGTGACTAGATGTATGATGGTTTCTGAAGTCGGTTGCACTCTCTAATTTTTCCACGCTCTCCTTTCCTCTTCAAGGCTCCAACTGACTATCTAAAGCATCGATCAAGGACGATAATGTTTACAAAATATCTTATACCCCGCATCACACGTCTCGCCCATAAATCTTGAAAGGAATTTAGCGGAAAGATCGCGTAGACAACACCTGCCGACGAACCTGTTTCCATACGAACTGTTTTTATTCTCTTTTTGTTTTCGATCACCCTCAGAATGTACTTGTATCTAAAGGATATCTGACCATAACTTGATTTTAGGATAGTTTTATGTAATTTTCATTGAAAGCTTCGAGATTTTTTTTCTATCTATATTTTTTTCAAGTAGCTTTCACCATTTCGTTTTGAAATTCTGCAGCTGTACGCATATTTACGCATTTACACATTTTTAAGCTACAGCACAGTGCATTAGATCAATGCGAAGTAAATTTACCGATCTTATCAAGTTTTTGATAAAATTCGTGAATTTACGTCGTTTTTTTTACAAATTCGAATATTGATCTGTAGGGCTACCACAATAGGGTGTGACTTACGCGAGAGTTTCTATGCGAGAATAGCAATGCCTCGCGCTATATGTCGCTCTACTTGAGTTTTAAATGAATAAAAAAGAAACGTTTTAAAATTATCAATTAGTTATCGAGTTTATAGGTTTTTGCAATTATGACTTTCTATTTTTGGACCTAAAATCATGTATATTTCTTTTATTTTTCTAAACAAACCAAAGTTTCGATGTTTTTAAAAATTGTTTCGTTTAACGATATCTTTGTGCTAGCCTACGTTTCCAATCAAATTATTTGCTTTATTAACCTCCAATACTGTATATGTGGTTTAGTTTGGTCTAATAGCATGAGTGGATGCCGATAGGCAATAACTGTTAACCCATAAAAGCTCGAAAATGGAGATATGAATGCCTAATTGTAGCTTGTCGTCTCGTCTACATCTTAAAAACAATCACTTACTTTAAGTAAGTGATTTAAAAAATGGTAAAAAGAGTTGACATAAGTAAATTCAAGAGCCACCATGGCTGAAAAACTTTAGGCGCCATTTTCTTTTTTTTTTCTCAATGTTGGTTGAAACGTAATTGCTTATCAGCATCCAATTTTGCTTTAGCTATATTATTATTACGGTTGGTATATACCCTTGCTGATTTTATCTTTACCTCTAGTTTTACTTAATGACCTCAGAATTCAGATGTGAAATGTCAAGCGATAAATTTCAAACACCGGACACACACTACAACGATAACCATCTTATAAATGGTTCACCTTTCTCAGTTTACGATCCCATTAAACCACCAAAAGGTGTAAAATTATGCAAATTATTTCAATCATTCCCATTATGTCGCGTTTAATATTTCTTATTTCCATTTATATCGTTCTTTATAATAATAAAAAAATATAAAAATAAATAGTACAAAGGAATTGATTAAATGTTATGTTTAGTTTGCTCACAGATTTTCTAAAAGGTAATAATTATATCTAGTACATAAATTATATATATTTACAAATTGCACAAAAATTCGACGTTCTTTAAACTAAAAATTGTCATCTTCTTTTTAGAAGAACCAAAAGTTAAAAGCTTACGTGGGTAATTAATAAATACAAGTGATTTTTCTATCCATACTCCATAGGCAAGTTATATCAGTAAAATGTACAAGTTTTTCTACAAAATGTGTTGATTTAATTTTAACTCAGCATTCGTCGTCCTCAATTTGTATTGAAATCAAGTAACAATAAATTTTAATTCATAATTGCCTAACGTTAATCTTCCATCAATCGCCCGTATCTCAACGGCAACTCTGTGGGCTAGTTCAGTGTGCAGATCATTTTGTTTGATCGCCCGTTACTTGCTGCGGTTACAGTAATGAGTCTCCTATTACATTGTTTATCTGCTCGCCACTTTATTACGATCTTGTACCAGCTTCCATTCGCATCCGATTGTCTGGGTTGTTTACATAATGTAACTGTTGGTTTTGGGAGTCGCTTTACTGGAAGGTAATATCTTCCTAATCGCAGCTCGCATAATTGAATATTCTTGTAACGTTGTTACTCGGCAGCTTGCTTTATTTTGTGTAATTTACCAGTAAAACCTCAGTTTGTTGAAGCATTTTATAGTAACATCAATTACCAGTGGCGGATTTACAGTCTTGACCGCCTCAGGACCCAGGCCATGTAGTCAGTACCAGCCGCCCCTTTCTCAGCACTCATATACCTGCTGGTAGAAATAAAATGTACGAAAGTGATTTAGGAGGATTATTGTCATACGATGCGGTGCAATGCGGCCCGCCATAATGTGCGTGAGCCTTTAAAATATTCAGGTACTTCGAGTTATTTCTTGTTATTATCAGTGAATTTTTTGTCACGATTGGCCGCCCCTCAAATCCGGGGCAAACCCGCCACTGTCAATTATCTCAAATTAATACTATAAGCACCAGACTAATAATGAAGTCAGCTTTATACCCATTTGAGATTGAAAACTTCTTCTTGATACCGCTATTATTGAAGCTAATTTTATACTTATAGTAAAGTTTTAAAGTCGTTCAAAGTTGATCTACCATTTCCTTCTTATCTCGAATTTAGAGGTCTCTTCCGTGACCAGACCGGGATCCACGGTGGCCGTTCTAATTATTTATAAACATTCATCCCTGAGACTACCGTTTAGAATACCTAGTTCAAAAACAATTTAGAACAGTTGATTTATTAAATTGATTCTATTCATATAAAGTTTCTACCCTCTTGTGGTTCTTCTCTTCTTTAGTTTTTCTTCAGTAATTATTTTTAGTATATGTAATACATCAGTAGCATTGGTCTCCTTGTGAAAGAGTTCGTCCAGGGAAGTACTGCCACTATATCAAATACTGCCGCCAAGCAGTAGTATATGCATTACTGCGTTCCGGTTGTTGAAAGGTAAAGATGGCGGTGAAAGACATTGGGAATTGTCAATTTTATGTCTCAGGGTGACGAGGGCAGTGCAATGCCTCACAGGTCTTGGTAATTTAAAGCTTTGAGTGGCACTGCAACTGTTATGGACAGGCGTGACGCTTACTACCAGGCGTAGGGATTTTCTTCCCGTCACGTGATATCTTAAAAAAACACGAATGACAGATAAATCTTTTTCTTTTTTCCAAAAGATTAGCTAGTACGTTATTTGAACCGTAGTCAGCAGGTCATTTCGTTTAATTGGTTAATGTTCTGGAAAGTTTTTGATAACAATAAATCACACCCCTCATGGAAGAATGACGTAAGTTGGAGTTACGTCAAAAATGTTTATTGCTCCATTATATACAGAAAAACATAACCCACGTCCTCTACAATTCTTGTAAGTTTATCGACTAATATTGTAGATAGAGTTACAAAAATTGGAGAGACGGAAAATAAAAAATGAATAATTAAAATCAGTTTAGAAATGGCGGAGTAATAAAAATTCAAAATTTACTTTTAATACGAATTCACTATTTTTTTAATCGCGTAATACACAAAAACAATACAGTCGAATTGAAAACTCCCTCCATTTTTAAAGTCGGTTAAATATTGCTAAAAGTAGGTAAGTATATACTACAGACCACATAAATACTAGTAGTATATACTAACGCAGGTCGATTCAACCGGTTTACTTTTAACAGAATTGGGTCTAATCAAAATAAGCTCTACAGCCGATTATGATGTACATCGATTCGGTAAATGGGCATGCGCACGCGATCACGATATCAAGAGATACGGTACTGCGATGTTAATGGGTCTAAGTTTAAGTTTAAAGTTTTTTTATAGTGATAAACATATCACTAATACGATGAATAACAAATAAACTGACCGAACTTGACAGTCCTCTTCACAAAATTACATATTCATTTCTGGGGCAATGTATACGCTTGTATAAAATTATGACGGTTGATTTCCAAAATTTGCTTTCGGTTGTTTAAATTTTAAGGTTTGCTTAAGGTTATATTATACAGCTTCTGCGTACTTGGACGATAAAAATCCAAGGTAGTGAGCCGCTTAGGTTTTGCAGGTTGTTTCGATCTATGACATTTAAAATAAATATTGAAAACAATAAATTTGTACATATAGAGTTCGTCCAGGGAAGTACTGCCACCTTACCTATTTCTGCCTCCAAGCAGTAATATCAGCATTACTGTGTTCCGGTTTTGAAGGGTATGGGTGCTGGTGAAATTACAGGCACATGGGACTTGTCAAGTTATGTCTCAGGGTGACGGGCGCAGTGGCAGTGCCCCACAGATCTTTGCGATTTAAAGCTCTGAGGACACTGCAATGGTTATGGACAGGCGATAGCTTACCTTCAGGCGCATGACTTGCTCGTCCCGTCACTTGATATTATAGAAAAAAATAATATGCGTAAATGATAAATACGACCTACTCCGAATAACTGTGCAAGGAAAGGTACGGGAAAGCGATCACCTGGAAGAA